CTTGCTGCAGGATCCTCTGGAAAAGTCTGATGAAATCATGGGGGGAAATGTGACATTCATCACCTGGACTGGAGCAGCCACCACCTCATCCTTGAGGGGAAGTTTTCAGAAACAAACAGAGGTTACCGGTACATAACTACACCGTCATGTCACCCACACTGTACCCACAGCCAAGCAAACCATACGTGACAGCAAAGTCACCCCAGCGTGACCACGTCGCTGTGGCGTGCCCTCCAATGCACACTTCCACGTAGGCAGATGTTTCATCAGCTGCATGACAGGGCTGGCAAAGCCTGTCTCAGAGCCGTTCTGTGGTTACCAGCAGCAAAGCTATTAAGCCCCCTTTGCAGCCCCATATGCATTCACTTCATGCATTTAATCCTGACAGCTCTAGTAAATTCTTCCTGAAAAGAAAAGAAAAGCAAAGCCTTGTTTCCCCTCCCCCTGAGCTACTGCTTCTTGTTAAATGTCATTAAAAGCAGAACCCACAATAACATCAGTCCTTGCTGAAGGTTGAAACCACCTTGACTGTAATCCTGGTGTGGCACTGGATGGGATAAAAAAAAAAAAAAAGGCAAAAACCAGATACTTCCTTCCACTTCTCTGTCAGCTCCACTTTGCATCAAAATCTCCTTTGTATGTCACACAGTTATTAAAGTTGTGGATTGCAGCTCGGAGTGTGTGTGCGTGAACGTGTGTGTGTCTGTGCCTGTGTCTTGGAAACTGGGTCACCCGGAGAGCGCTCCATGAAAACTCTGCCCTGACAAATCCAGGCTGGCGAGACTCACAGATACCCCTTATAATGTTTTTCTGCCTCCCATCATGCTTTGAAAGGAGCAAATAATACTACTTTCTCCTGTATTTTTGTATCTTTTATTCAGCAGCTTCCTGAGGTAAATAACCTCTGGCAGGCAAATCTAAGGGGATGCTCCTATCTCACTTGCTGTCTGCTCACACTGAAATCATGATATACTTTGCTTTCATGAGGCTCTTTATAAAAAGTCCCCTTTTTTCCGAGAACAGCTATCAAGGAGGGCAAGCAACCCCCCAGATTTGGCTGAGGCTCCAGTCCCAGCATCTGGCCATCCTTCTGTCCCCAGGGACTCCCCAGAACAGGGCGCATCCCCAGCACCCAGGGGACCTCTGCGGGCACCTCCCCGGCCAGAGCAGAGGGCTGCTTTCCAGCCATGGCACTTTGTAAGCAAGCAGGCATCATTTTGTTTCCACCAGAGCTCTGAATAACACAGCTCAGGCCGTTTCTGTCTGAGGCTGGGGGTTGAATTCCGTCATGAGCTGCCCTCAGCGCGGCAGCGAAAGGTGGGGGAAAACCAGCAGAGCAGAGAGCGGGGCTGGCCCAGCTCAGCGCCGGGCAAGACACGGGCTGCTGGAGGGGACAAGCGGTGGGGAACCGAAACTTGCTGACTCCGTGCAGGTCAGAAAGATGTGGGCCACAGTCTCAGAAGGAGCAGAGAGGGGGAATACTTGTGGGTTTTCTTATTAACAGCTTATTTTAATACTTAGGGTGCCAGCAAAGGGATGGCAGAAAGAAATACCCTGGCAGGGAGGGCCTCACTGCTAAGGCAGAATTGCAAAGAGGGTCCTGGGGACCAAATACTGCTTTTCCTTGTGCCACTGTCAGGGCACTTAAAGTAAGCAAAACTTAAGTGACCATGAGCAGAACCAGTGATAGGAAAGGGGTTGGAAGGACCTGACTTCAGACACACATTTGCTGCCATGGGGAAGAGCTGTAGAGAAGGATTTCAAAGCCCCAAGATGGGGGAAATGGAGTTGAGAAACAGAAAGTGCAGTTTTTACTCTGATCTAGACTCCACCTGCCCCTTAGTGCTTCACTCCAGTAAATGACAGCATGCAGGTTGTGATCCCCATTTTACCGACAGAGAAAATGAGGCAGGGTGAAGACAGCGGGCAGCATTGCTCATCTAAGGGGGCTCAGCAGCATCCGAAGCCAGGCAGGGATCGCAGCGAGGCCTTCCCACAGCCTGCACCACTCGGAAAAGAAAACGGAGGGATTGCACCCGGGAGCAGGGGAGGGGGCACAAGCTCCCACCTGATCCATCCCTGAGACAGAGCCTGTGAGAGAGGAAAGCAAAGTCACTTTGGGGAATCGCCTTGCGAATCCCTCA